TCCTCCTCAAGTTTCTGATAGCTCCCATACGGACGATGAAGAAAATATTGTTGTCGAAAACCTTCGAAAACAATTGTTCAGTTAGAACATTTATTAGAAATAATTTACAAACTTTATGTTATTTATATTTGAAATAATACCAAAATAATGTTAGGTGATGATTCAGATATAATACCAAGTAACTCTGAGCACTCCGATTCTTCTAAGAATTTATTGCCATCGAAGCATGTTAATTAAATAAGGATACAAACTACATACTACAGGTAAACTATGTATAAAACTGTAGGAGCCACTGTCTCTTATTCGAATTTTTATTATTCTTATTTTGAGTTGCAAACTAAGGTGTCTACTGCATAATACTTTTTTCACCTTATTAGGTGTTAATCTAACTTATTAGCATTAAGTGTTAGTCTGCTTTCCTCACTAACATTTACTACATTATCTAAGAGTGTCTGTAGATCTTATATATTCTGTGCAATTAGTATAGTATTATCGGCATATCTGATATGGTTGATGGGTCTGCCGTTGACTTTTATTTCAATTGTTATATTTTCGAGTGATTTTTTAATTATTTCTTCTGAATATATATTGAAAAATAAGGGGGAGTGTATGCAACCTTGTCTTACGCTTTTTTATCTCTACTTTCTCCGAAAGTTCTTGGCCTACTCTGACTTTTGCTTTTTGGTTAAAATAGAGATAAATTATTATTCTTAAGTCTTTTTTGTCAATGTGTTAATCATTAGGTAACTATATAAGACGGTTGTGTCGGACCTTATCGAACGCCTTATTGTAATCAATAAATCAAACATTTAGTAGTTGGTTTACATCTATACATCTTTGCATGAGGGCATTAAATCTAAATGATGCCTCTCGTGTACCCATAGGATTCCTAAATCCAAATTGGGTTACAGTGATGTCTTGTTCCACTTTTCTGAAAATTCTTAAATGGGTAATTTTTAAGGATATTTTTAGTGTGTAACTAATTAGACTAATTATATGGTGGTCATTACATTCCATTGCATTAGGTTTTTTTGGTAATGTAGTAAATCTTGTCTACTAATAAGTCTACTGATACATTGATCTGATCTTCTGATATTAATTTAATTATTTTAGTTGGAATTGTGTCAGGGCCCGCAGTTTTATTAGATTTTGTCAGATTTATTGCATGTATTGTTTCAAACTTAGCTATATTTGGACGTTTATCATGTTCCTCATTCATCTCAAAACAAATTAAAGCCCAGGTCCAGACGGAATATACCCAGAAACGTTCAAATTAATCAGCGAAGAAAATATCGAAATATTTGTCCTTTTATTCAATCGCATTTATGATACAGGTAAAATACCCCAAGATTGGCTGGAGTCAATATTCATCCCACTACCAAAAAAGCCAAACCCACAACACTGCAATGAGTTCCGTCTGATAAGCCTTATGAGTCATGCAGTAAAAGTCCTACTAAAAATCGTACATAATCGTATCTATAGAAAGTGCAAAACAATCATCGGGGACGATCAGTTTGGATTCAGAGCCGGCATGGGAACGAGAGAAGCCCTGTTCAGTTTACTAGTTCTCGCCCAAAAATGCACGACCAACAGAAAGATATATTTATATGCTTTATAGACTTCGAAAAAGCATTTGATAGAGTAAGACACGATCTACTATTAGAACGTTTGCAAGAAGTCGGTTTAGATGGAAAAGACATCAAATTCTTAAAAAACTTGTACTGGAACCAAAACACCAGAGTTAGAATCGAAGGTTCCACATCCGCAGAAGTAGAAATTAGGAGGGGAGTTAGACAAGGATGTGTTCTGTCGCCTCTGCTGTTTAATATTTACTCCGAGTTTCTATTTAAAGAAGGATTGGAGGATTCCAAGGATGGAGTCAATGTGAATGGCGTAAATATCAACAGTATCAGATACGCCGATGATACAGTGTTAATTGCGGATTCCGACTCAGGTCTACAACGACTCATCGACAAGACCAACTCGACATGTGAGCGATTTGGTATTAAAAAAAATATTAAAAAAACCAAAGTGATGTCAATCCGAAAAAACCAAAACGTACCTCAACCTTGCACAATAAATGGGCACATCTTAGAATGGGTCAATAGATTTTAGTACCTGGAATGTTGGATCGATAGCAGCCTAAATTCTGATCAAGAAATAAGATCGAGAATAGAACAGGCCAGAAAATCTTTCGAAAAAAATAAAAAAAATGCTTTCTGATTCTCGAATAAAACTCGAAATTCGACTACGTTTATCAAAATGCTACGTCTGGTCGACTCTTCTATATGCAGTTGAAACGTGGACCCTTAAAACATAAACCGTAAATAAATTGGAGGCCTTTGAAATGTGGATCTACCGAAGAAGACTCAAAATTTCATGGACATCGCATACCTCAAACGAAAAAGTGCTGCATAGAATAGGCAGGAAAGAGAACTTTTTAACACAGTAAAAGTTAGAAAAACATCATACCTAGGCCACATACTGAAAAATAATAAGTACCAATATGCCCAACTTATAGTGAAAGGAAAAATCGAGGGAAAGAGAGGCCTAGGAAGGAAAAGACTATCGTAGCTCAGAAACATCCGACAATGGACAGGGCTAAATTTTGAACAGCTAATAAGAACAGCTGAAGATACGTCCTCAAACAATTCTTGGACGTATTCTCTCCATCTGTTTAGTTTGCCTTTGATATCAGATATTATTTTACCATTCGTATCAACCAGGGTGTTATTATTGTTGGTCCGTCTTTTACCTGCTAATTCTTTCATTTTTTTGTGCAATTCAAAACTATTATGATTTCTCTGGAGTTCTTCTATCTTTAAACATTTATCGTTGTACCGCTTCTATTCAGCTGCTTATCTCCTTGTGTGTGGCTTTGTATTCGTTTACATTTTTGTTTTTATATGGTCTTCTCTTGTTCATTAGTTGCCGGATCTCATCTGTCATCCATGGAGTCTTAACTTCATCGATTTTGTGACTACTCAGCTGATCTTTAATTGGCATCATTAATGTCTTCTTAAATGTTTCCCATTGTTGAAATCTTCATTATCAATGATTATTGTTTTGCTCAACTCTTCTATATTCGGGAGTTTTAGCAGAGTGCTTATTTGTGTCTTTTATTGATTTTTTATTTTCTTTAAATGGACTACGAATTTTACGATTACTGGATTGTAGTCTGATGACACATCTGTTCCTAGATATGTCTTTGCCCATTTGATGAAGTTAAGGTATCTCTTATTGATAAGGATATAATCTATCTGGTTTCTGATAATTTTTGATTTGCTATCCGCAGGTGATTTCCATGTATATAATCTACGTGGTAGTAACTGAAAAAATGTATCATTTCAAACTCCTGACAGAATCTCGTCAATCTTTCCCTTCTTTTGTTCCTTATTCTTAAATGGGCGAATTCACTAATAATGTCCTGGAATCTACCTTTTCCTAATCCCCCATTGTTATTATTTCATCTCTATTATTAGTGCTGTCTAGTGCTTTTTTAATGTCATTGTAAAACTCTTCTATTTCATTTTTATTTTTATCTGCAGTGAGGGCTTACACCTATATGATGTTAAGAGTTCTATGCGCTGTTTCTGACCACTTCTTTGGTTCATTAGCCTTTGGAGTCGATTTCTCAACTCCAGGACAAAAGAGTGCCCTATCACTTACCAACCCATCCGCCCGTAGCCGTTGGTCAGTAAGTGAGAGATTGCTTATACCGGCAACCTATAACCGATAGATATTGCCCATCTTCTACCACGTGGAGGTTGCAGAATTGGATTTGTCTTTCATTGGGATTTCTTTCGGCGTACCATCTTCGATGCACTTAATTTCCTTTGAAATGGCTTGTGTGGCGGATAAACTTACAGATTTTGCTCTTACAACACGTTTTTGCACTTGTCTTAAGTCTATTAGAGCTGCGTTGTCCCTTGCTGCATAAAACGCATAACATTTGCTATAATTTCTCGACTTTGACCGGACAAAACTTTCCGATTTAATTTTAATTTAAATTCTATTTTACGTCACTGGGACTCACTGTTCTTTAAAAAAACTCTGCCACAGACTGTACCGACCGAATTTTCCACGTTGAATTGTTGACTTTGACTGGTATATTTCCGATAAATTTAGTGCGCATCATGTAGGCGTGGCGATTTAAAATTTTCAAACTTCTTCCTATGTTTGACAAATAATATGTGAGTCAATCATTGGCCTACGTCATATCGCTATTATGTTTGGCGTATTCTCCTATTTAAGTACAAACGGTTAAGTTTCAGAGTTTTACGTTCTCTAAGTAAAAGTGAGATTTCATATTAAAAATAATAACAAATAATTCCTGAATAATAATAAACAGGTGCAAAAGAACTAGGGAACAGGCCACAGCTTAATTAAACGTCGTTATAAATTTAAATCGATAACGCACTTTTGAAATGGCGCTTACTGCTTTGTGACAAAACTCATAGTGCGGTAATTTTTTATTAGCACCGAAAGCCGACTTTTTGTTAAACACGTTGTTGAATTAGAGGCGTCAGCTTTTTAGATCAACGCTGTCATGCACCATGCAACAGAAATTACTAAAGTTTTTTTCGTTTGATGAGTCGGTAACGACAATCTAATGGAGAGCAAATTCTCCAATAGGCACGGATTCCCGGTGCATTTTTTTATTTGCGATTTGCGTTGACAACGTACTGGAAAATAACAGTTGCTTTTTGTATTTGTTTAAGTTGTTTTAGTTTTAGATAAGCGTACTTCCTAACTTGTGAATATATTGTCTATTAGTCTTTCTGGCTATTTGCTAAAGAATCTTTCTATTTTTTCTTTTAAATATTCGTTATATTGTATAATTTATGTATATTTTCATAAAATTCTTCGCATGTTCTATAAAACCCTTTATTTTGATAATAGGATTTTCTTTTGTGCCTTTGACTTATCTCTTATTTTTAGCGTGCCATATTAGAATTATCCGACGTTGGCGATCACCATTGTGAAGGCTTCTCGATCTTCTACAATATGGAATACTTGTCCGGCATTTGATATCTGAGTCCATTCACGAATGCTTTTTAACCAAGAAACTTGTTTTCTTTCTACACCTCTACGGCCCCCTATTTTCCCTTTAAGTATGAGTTGTTATATTTTATATCGACTTTCCCTTACTATATTTCCCAGATAAGACATTTTTCGATGTTTAACAGTCTTTAGCAGTTCTCTATGTTTGTTGACGCTTCTTAATACTTCTTTATTAGTTTTCCTTGCTGTCCAAGGTATCATCAGAATTCGTCTATGAACCCACATTTCCAATGCTTTAGTTTTGTTCATGATCGATATTTTTAGCGTCCATACTTCTACACTATACAAAAATACGGACCAAACATAGCACTTAACCATTCTTTGTCTTAGTTCTAAACTGACAAGGTTATTGCAAAGAAATGACTTCATTTTCATAAAAGTAGTTTTAGTCATTGCTATTCTACGTTTTATTTCTATGTCTGGATCTAGTTGGTCATTTATCACAGTTCAAAAATATGTCATTTTGTGAACTTTCTTAACTTGGACTCCGTTTAATTGAAACTTTGCATCGGGATGTGGGTCACGACTAAACACTAAAAATTTTGGTTTTCAGCTTAGTTTAATATCTGCTACAAGTGGTTGATGATCAGATCCAATATCTGCCCCAGGAAGTGTGGCCTTTTATGACAGCATTTTGGAAACGCTAATTTACAAGTATATAGTCTATTTGATTTCTTAAAGACTAAGGGTTATTGCAATCATCAAATGGGGCTTTCCAAGTATATAGTCATCGCTTGGGTAGTTTATAGCAGGTGTTTGCAATGGTCATATCGTTTTCATCACAAAATTCATAGAATCTTTTTCCTCGATCGTAATATCGTTGTTGGATATTGCAGTACACAACTCATAGCATTTATATATATAAAAAAATATTTCTCCTTTATATATAGGAAGACCTAGTCTACATAGACATAACTTGCCAGATCTTCGTTCTGATCGCATTGACCATTTCGATATATCAAGCAGTTCAAATATTCTCAAATAAATATTTAAAAAAAAAAACGAATTTTGATTTCAACGATCCTAGAAATGAGATGGAACCGAATAACTTTTTTTTTATTAAATTATTAACATTTTTATTACAATTAACCCTATAAGCGAAGATTTTCAACAAAAAACTTGAGTGCTAATGGGTTAAAATATTGGTTTGATTTTACAAAAGCAGTAACAATCGAAGCAAACAACTGATACCATGTTACTTTATTCCAGTACACACTTGGAATCAACTGTGAGTTTCTTCTTCTTCTTAGGGTGCCTGTCCGTTCCAAACGTTGGCGATCATTCTGGCTATAATGATTTTGTTGGTTGCTATACGAAATAGCTGTGTTAAGGTCTTTCTATACCATGCTCTCAAGTTAGCAAGCCAAGATATTCTTCTTCGTCCTGGGGCTCTTTTTCCTTCAATTTTACCCTGCAAAATACATTGGAGTAGCTCGTATCTGCCTAGATTTCTCATTACATGTCCCAAGTACTCCAGCTTACGGCTCTTCATAATGTTGACCAAATCCGCGGTTGTGTTCATCCTCCGCAGTACTTCTTCATTGGTGACTTTGTCTGTCCATGGTATCTTCAGAATTCATCTGTTTAACCATAATTCAAACGCTTGAAGTTTAGATAGAGTTTCCGCCTTCAATGTCCACGTTTCTACTCCATATAGAAGCACTGAGTACACGTAACATTTAAGGAGCCTTATTATTGTTTTCAGTGTGAGGTCATGGCTTTTAAACACAGAGCTCATAGCCAAGAATGCACTTTTGGCCTTTCCGATGCGACATTTAATCTCCTGGGTATTGTCCCACGACTCTTTGATTATAGTTCCCAAGTAATTGTATTGTGAGACACGTTCAATTGTCATTTGGTTCTCATACAGATTTGCTCCAGTTATGTTTTGCTTGCTGATGATCATTAGCTTGGTTTGCTGGTGTTTATATCCAGTCCATAGGTTTTACTTGTTTCTATTATTTTGTTCATTAAGTTTTGCTTCTATGGTATTGGAAAACACTATTGTATCATTTGCATACCGCAGGTTATTAAGCTTGACTCCATTTATTGAGATGCCTTCATCAATATCTTTTAGGACCTCTTCAAAAATGTGCTCCAAGTACAGATTGAATATTAGTAGTGAAATTATGCACCCCTGTCTCACTCCTCTTAAGATTTTGACCTGTTCTGTATATTCTTTAGCTAGTCGGAGTACCGCTGATTATTCCAATACAGATTAGCTATAATTTTTAAGTCTTTTCCATCAATCCCTGTCCTCTTCAGCACTTCCATCAATTGTTCATGCCTGACTCTATCGAAAGCTTTCTTGTAGTCAATCAGGCATGCAAAAACATTACAGCTGACATCTCTACATTTCTGAAACAAGATCTGCACGCTAAATAAAGCTTCCCTCGTACCAACGGCGTTCACAAATCCAAACTGATTGGGCGCAATTTATTCCTCGCATTTCCGGTAAATTTTTTTGTGGATAACCTTTAAAAACAGCTTTAGCAGATGGCTCATTGGATTTATTGTCCTATAATTTTCACAAACTTTTGTTCCTGGTTTTTTGGGCAACGGTACGAACTCCGATTTGAGCCACTCTACTGGTATTTTTCCTGCCTTGTATATTTCATTAAATATATCAGTTATTATTTTTATGGCAAGATTGCCTTCATTATCTGTTATTTTTCCGCTGTTGCTTTTTCGAAACTTTCCAGCTATTTCCTTCACCTTTCGATGAGTATTGAAGTTATCATATCGACTCTGATATTCTTCTATTTCTTGACATTGTTCTGTTTTTTGTTTCTCTTTGGCTTCTGTTATTTTTCTTCTGACGATGGTATGTATTCTCTGATATTCTTGGAGATTTTCTTTGTTTTTTATTCTCTGATCCATAAGCTCTTGTATTTCATCGGTCATCCACGATTTGCGTTTCTCTGTGACTTTATTCAGGTGTTGTTTTATTTCTGTGAGTTTAATACGTTGTAATTTAATAATGTAAATACCGTTTTAAAATATACTTTTAAATAAAAAAACTGCAGAAACAATTCTTTATTGATATTTTTTCCCCAGCACCTATTACGCAGGAAATTTTTAAACAGTATCGTTACCGAAAAAACTGTACCTCCTTTATTTCGATTAACCGAAGCTATACTGTATATAAAATTGTTTTAATTTAATATGGAAAAAACATTAACCATATTTTTTATGTTTTAACAAAACGCAGAGAGATATAATATGTATTTGAATTTGTATATTTAAACGTAATTCCAACTACAGTTCATATTTTATTTACCGATGTTGAGACAAGTACAATATTTCTCTACTATAGGGAATAACACAATTTATATAACAACGAATGAAATGTAAATATACAAAATATTTCATTAATTTAAATCCTAAATAAATAATTTTATAATTATTTTAATTATAAATTGTGTAAAGCGTATATTTCAAAATACATTTTACAAATTTAAAATTAGGTGATTCACGAAACACAAAAACTGGATGTTGATATTTGAAGTATATTTAACTTATGTATAAAGCTCTTATGTAACAGCTATAGAGCGTTTCACGTTAAAAAAATAACATTGCGGTGATATGGCCATGCATTTCTTATGGACGATAGAAGCGAGGCGATTCCATGACAAACACAAGCACGATTCAGGGTTGTATTATTTGTATTTTCATTTAATTTTGTATTTATATTTAATTTGTATTTAATTTCATTTAATAGATGAAAATTTGTAACGATATATATTTTGCCCACCTCAGGGTAAGATTATGGGGGTAAAGATAGGGCAAGCAAAATAAAAGCTACTTGTGCGAACGGCACTCAGGGTTTGTTAGGAGAGCTGGGGTCGTGGATAAGTAAAAGATAAGGAGGTTGGATTGGGGCAACTACAAAAATATGAAATAAAAAGTCAAGAATTTTTTGATAAAAACAAAACAAAAAAAAAACAGGAAAAACTTCTAGTAATTTAATATAGGGCGCCACTTTGAGGTGTTTAATTATAACCATTACAATAGCTAGTTATAACTAGAGAAATAATTATTAAATATAAAAAACATATCTTTTTCAAATGGAAACTCAAAAAAGGGTTAGTTAAAAAAGAATAAACACAATGTTAGGAAAACAAAATTTAACATTTATTGTGTCTTACCACAAACAGTTATAAAAATAATGGCACAAATTTACATATAGATTAATAGTTACAGAGACCAAGAATAACAAAAAAACTTACATGTGTCTTAGCCGTTTACAAACTCTGTTGCTACAAAACTTACAAAATTGCATGGAGGTTAACCTTCTTTAAAAATAAAACAAACTAAAATCAAAAAATAATAAAACAAGCTGTCATAACTTAACAATAAAGTTAAAAAAAAACTGAACACACAAATTGACAGCTAAAGTCAAACCCTAAAATTTTACAATTTATTAATTATTATAAATCCTTTAAATTTTAATGAAAGCAATTATATTATTAAAAAAATGTCTACTTTAATTTAAATATTTACATAAAAGTTACCTGGACTGGGTTTTACACTAAAATTCTGGAACTATAACTGGAACTAAACAAACTGCTTCATAAACAAAACAGGAACAGCGATATTGAAGAAGCACTTCACCTGGAAACAAACTGGAACATCAGAATTGCTACTGGCGACACAAATCTCTTAAATACTTTTTTAACCTCCTCTGTAACTAAACATACTTCACAATTTACTTTTCACTGCTACATATTTCTATAAAAAGGGGCCAAAAACAGAAAATACAAATTCGACGGATGAATTTGGATCCATACCTGAGCCTACAGCGACCCAATTAAGAATGACGAAATTATCTTAACAATTCGTTCACATAACTTGAAATAAACAAAACGCTGAAATAAACAAAATACAACGAAAATTACGACGTAGATTATTAATATGAAAACGCAGTACGTCGGGCGGCATAAATCAAAGAATTATCGATAGAAAAATACGCAGCTACGAAATAAATAAACAACTTAAAAATGGTTTTTATTACTAGGCGACGCTAAAAATAATTGAAAGAATTCGGTGTTTTATTACGTACAAATGGAAACTGAAATAGGTACATTAAAAAATGTTCTGCGATTTTTCAAACATATATGAGGTGATTTCAATATATTACATATACAAGGGGATTCCAATATATACCAAAGAATCAATGAAATTGCAAATACTACAAAGTACGGAAAATGCTTTTAAATAAAAAAATATTATTTACAAAAGATAATTTTATTTTATATTATTTTAATTATGTATAGTAATGAAAGATTATTTGTTTTTCGGTGAGAATACCATATGCCATGAATCATGGAAATCAGAAAAAAATATTGCTTAGCTAAATCATG